TACCATCGTAGTTACGTGGACATTCCTCTTCCAGAAAATCATCTAACAGTTTGGTTTCTTCCACCATTTTCTCGTATTCTTCCCAATAGTCGAAAAGGTGATGATCACCTTCTACGTATGCAGTTGCCTGTGCTCTCTCCATTCTTCCTTCCAAATTTCTCGCATACGTTTTGCCAATATTTCTTTTTATTCCATCAACTTACCGCTTAGAAAGTATTCCTATTCATACCTGGAAGATAGATTGCCAGATATTTAGAAAGATTCCAATGGTAATGCTAGTTAATAATAATTAAACGCTGCTACCAACGAACGTTGAGAAAACTTGGTGGTCTAACACGAAGATCAACACGCGCCTGAACTATACTTTGATCGACGAAAAACATCACGATTTGCCACCTTTTACCACCAATCAGGCTAACGTGACATCGATCTTCTTCTCAAACAACTTGTAATCTGTTTTTCAAAGTAGGACGCAAATCGAATTAACATACACGTCGCCTCGAGGAACGACTATCGTTGACACGATCACTCTTCAAATAAAATGACACCAGATAGAAATGGAGAAAATTGTGAAATAAATACGTTGCGTAAAATTTATTCGTCTATGAAGTTTCAGCCAAAGTAAGTGTAAACGCATACGCACGTGTAAAATGGACGCGTACACAAAGGTTCGGAAAAAAGTATATCTAAGCGTCTAACCTCCTTGCGACGCAAAAATTTTCTATTAATGCAGATGCAATGAATGATTCGTGAATGAAGTACGTACATTTGTGAGCAGGCCTGATCCGTGAGTGGGGTACCATTGCTTGCACGATCATCTTATTCCCAAAATAAACTCTAAATTGACGATGGTTGACGTTGCACGAATCTTTCAAGGAACACATACGAAGAAAGATACAGCTTTTCAATGACTGATCCGTGATAAGATTTCTTTTCTAGAGGTAGATGACTGCTTTTCGCGTGAACAATATTTCAAGACTATCTGCTACTTCCAAGAATTAATATATTCAGTGCATGCCTTTGAATCGCACCCATCGTTAACGAGATCTCGTCATCGACTCGTCGCCCTGAATACAACCAGAGAACACACGAGTCTAATATGATACTTCAACAGACCAATTTCCGCATTTATACATAATTCCCGCTTTTTCACATTCAACTTACATTGAAAATAGAAAAGGCGAGAACGTGTTCTCGCTACTTGACAACCTGTTGCTGACGCATATAACTCCCACCTGTACCTGCACACTGATTCACAGTATTACCGTTTTCGTGTTGACACCTGCGCCTCTCGTCCATTTAGGCAATCACGCCATCTAGTTTTCTCAGATTACCAGTCTTTCCTACCTTCTCGCTTCTCACGATTGATAATTGATAATTCATAATTATCAATTCACGCTCGTGAATAAATCACTATTAATTGTCCTTGATTCCTTTCGAACAATCACACGTAGAATCCTCTATTCAACAAAACGTTATCAACAAACACGATAATAATATTCCCATTCCCGTCTTATCTCGGCCCATTTCGTTCCAGAGAACGAACATGAAACGAAGGTGAAACAAGAAACAAGTCATTCGGTTGGTTTAAAAACGCATAACTTTTTTATTTCTTCTCAATTGAATCATTATTATAATCATTGTTATTATTATGTAAACGCTTATAATGTTTTTAACAGAATGCAATTTCGGTGAATCTGGAAAGAAGACGGACAAGATACGGATACACTGTTGGATATGAAATGTGATAGGATGGTTAATATATGCATGCATATAAAAGATGTTAACTAACATACTCTTGACGGTAATTTTTTCGTGTTCAACTTCTATTAGCACGATTACCCCATCCCCTTCTATGTGTATCTTTATACTCATCCATGGCACGTAATTGCTTCAAAGTCTCTGGATCATCCTCTTCGATCGCATTTTCTTTTCTAATATCTTCTTGTTCGTCGTCCTTTCCCTGATTGTTTACCATGTCTTGTAAGTATTTTGTATTAGCCTGATGTTGCTCAGCAGGATTAGGCCAACTGAAATGGAAAAGACCGTTGTTAAAGCGTTCGTTCGATGAAATGCTTAAAAAAAGAGGCATACGTGTTATAAAATCTACTTACTCTCCATCTTTCACTCGTTTGTCGAAAAATTCTTCGACAGTGAGAACAGGTAAACTAGGATAGCCAGCTCCGTAAACTTTCTTTTGCACTTCGTTTCGGGTGATAATAATCGGTTGTAACTTGGGTGGAGACGGTTGATGCTTGTGTGAAACGTGACCAGACATAGTTTCACTTTTCCCCATTCTTTTCATGTGTTCTAAAATTGGTTTTTCCGCGGCTAACGAACTCAGTTCTTCTATCGTAAGGTTTACGTATAATTTAATCATCGTCACGAAATAATCTCTCTTAACTTCGTCATCTATGTTTGGATTTGACAAATTTTTCTGCAACGTTTCTAAACGTGATTCCAACTCCTTTTGTTCTTTGTATCTCTGCAGTTTCGTATTTCTCCGATTTACCTGTGAAATTCGAATTCGAATTCGAAGGTTAACAATCGCGCCTAAATTTCGAAAAAGTAGACTTACCATGTCGGTAATCAATTCCGCATTCGTTCGAACCTTCCCGGACGCGGTTTCTTGCCCATGTTCCGATTTAATTTCGGGCACTTGGATATCAGTTAAACCGTAAGCTTTAACGCGCTTCAAAAAGTCGACGAAATAAATTTCGGCAACATTAACGTTGTGCATTCGGTCATCTGTGTTACAAATTTTTGTAGTGAGCGTACCAAGGAAGGCAGGCAGCAAAAAATACTTGATATTTTCCGTAGCCACTTCTTCGAAACTTTCATTCGAGCTAAACATATCGACTATCGACACCAGCTTTGTCGCTTCTTGTAACATATTCATGGTTCGTTTCACATCAGACTAACGTACAACAAAAATCAGATTAGCATATACATATGTATGTATGTATGTATGTATGTATGTATTATAGATGCGAAAAATGTGGGAGATATATGTATGTATGCCTGTGAATATGATATGTAAAAAGGAGAAATGACCAAATGAAAATCCGTATGCGGAATTTGACAACTGGATACCTGAATTTTCGGACTGTTCGTAGGTTCGTCCGTCTTGTTTATGTTATTAAACAACTCGAACGCTTTGTCAAATAATTCCGACAGAGTCGCAGCATCTTTCGTTTCGTTTTCTAAACCTGAGGAATTTTCTTCCGACATAACTATCGTTTTGACAGCTGTCTCCGGCACTCAAACCACAAAACAAGGTCAAAGGGGTTATGTACGTACGGTAGAAAATGTTTCGACTGAAGTTGGCAACAAGTGAGTCGAACTTGGTAAATTTCGATAATATATCGACTGGACGTATCGATATATCGTTTATTTCGCGGTTCTTTTAAATCTTAAAGTTCACCAACAGCTGAATAGATTCGAGGTCGGTTTTTTATATCGGGTTAAGTGTGTACACACATACACACAGAGAGGCACACACAGCATGTGTATAATAAAAATAAAATAAAACACAAATTTTTATTCGATCGGCATTATTTTCCTCCGTACTTTTAATTTGAACCTTATACGATTGTACTTTGTTTATGAATTTCGAAGCAAAATGTGGGGATAAACGATCGATCGCGAGTATTGCTTAATTTTCTATTCCATTGCTTCACCATAGGTGACGTTTAAAATTAAAAGGAGAATAGTAATGCGCGTTAACCTAGACAGGTCTTATTCTCTTTCATCTTGTAATTGACGGACTGGACGCTAGGTAAGTATAGTACAAATGGTTCGCATCGTTGAGATCGTTTTCGTGGTTGAAATGGTCAGAACGCATTAACCGAAGAGAAAAGCACCACGCGTCGTTTCAACTTACAGGAGATCATACTTTTGGAGAAGCTCGACACGAGCTCTCCTCTCGGATTGATTGCGAACCATACGTACTCGAATTGTACGATTCGAGTTGCATGAACTGACGACGATTGGTTGCGAGGAAAAAGTGAAAAATGATTTGCGATTACTGCGACAACGCTTTGCACTGTTTACAATTTTCCATTCGCTCGTCGAACTCCTCTATCTGAAGCGTCATTTCGAAAAATTTGTACTTGTCGTGAATGTTTCTGGTCGCGGTACGTAATACATCGTGAGGACTGGCGCCAGGTTCTGAAAATAATCGTAAGCGTGGTCGTTTAATGCGTCAATTTAGGCCGAAGCAGACATCTACGGAGAAAAGTTAGGCTAGTCTTACTTATCGCGAGATGCGCGGAGAGCGCAGTTTTATCCAACGAAAGCGCCCAAATACGAAGATTGTGCACCTTAACGACGCCATCGATTTGCATAAACGTACTCTCCACTTGGGAGTATTCGAATCCTTTTGGAATTCCTTCCATCAAGACGTTCATCACGTCTTTGATTATGGCGAACGTGGTCAATACCACCAGCAGTGAAAATAGGAAGGTGCAAATTGGATCAACTATGCTCCAACTGGGCTGTAGGGAATATCGAGAAAAGTTTGACGTTGTATTCGACGAGAAAGGAGGAAGCAGCGGTAAGTGAACATAGAGAGAAGTGTACCTTGAAATAAATAACCAGCGCTGCAACGAAAACACCTATGCTTTGAATAAAATCTCCAAGAACATGAATAAAGGCAGCACGCACGTTGATATTTTTCTTATCACGGGCCAGACTTTCTTCGTCCATTCTCTCGTTCTCTATGCTTCGATTCGTTTTGTGGGAGGAATCGTGACCGTGACCGTGACCGTGACCATGACTGCTACCGTGAGTGTGGCCGTGCTGGTGCAGAGACAAACCCATTCTGTAAGATGAAAGTTGAACCGATTATTGTCTCGAGATAGAATTAGAGAGGTTCGATGCGGCGAGTAGTCAGTTCGGACGATTTAAATAGAGCGTAAGAGTATCACTAACACTAGATTTACCACAACGCCAACGGCAGATGTGATCAACATGACGATGGCGTCCAGTTCAAAATTTTTGTGAACAATTCTTTCGACCGCCAGATAAAAGAGGATTCCAGTGACTACCCATATCAGTAGAACCGACGTCAAAGCACCTATTACCTGCGAACAACGACGAATATCCGCCCGATCGAATATACGTGGAATCTGTAAAACGAAAAGGAATACCTACCTCTGCCCGGTACCAGCCAAAAGGCATTTTCCTCGTGGCTGGTCTGCTCGCTACCCATATCGAGAACAGGGAAATCATAAAGGAGGCGAAGTCGGTTAGTAAATGTGCGGCGTCCGTTGCGATTGCCAAACTGTTGGACAATATACCACCTGAAGAAAAATCAAACGAGCACATGGATAAGACATGGTATCGATGGTGACTTTCGCGCTGATTATACATCTCTGATAGAGATTGTACGTGTGTTTTGCTGGTACATCTGTACATGGTGTATTACCTACGATTTCTGCTATCATAAAAATTACGCATAGCGCACTAGCAAGCAGTAATTTCTTTCTTGCCTTTTTATCGATCTCCTCGTTTCTTTCTCTGTGACAATGGTCCTCCGGTACAGCTAAAAATGAAAGAAAAAAAAGAAAAAAAGAATTGGCATAGGTGCATATGTGAGCTCTTACTTGAAGAATTTTCTTGAAAATCGCCGGCGATGGTAGCATTCTCGTCGATGGACGCGTTGCCCTTTACAACCGTGCAGCATCCCGAAAGCTTGCCGTGCACGCAAAAGATCACTTTCCTCGGTGACGCTTCGTTCTCATCGACTTGGTTGTTATTCGGTGGAATGCTCGTCCCGTATCCGTACACAGCCTTGTCTTTAAATCTAGGGAGGAAAGAAAAAAGGAGGAATTGGTATTGGTCTAAAGCGGCTGAGCGACGAAGCGCTATCTATAGATAGGTAGTAGAGAAGAAGAAGGACGCTGCGATGGTTTCGCGTTGAAAATGAGAGAGCAGCAGGGTGGTGTAGCCAGAGGCAACCTACCCGTTTTCTTCGTTTCGGTATTACTATACTCCATACCGTTTACCGTTTTCGCGACTGCTACTTGCACGCGATACCAACAATCGAACATTTCACGCTCGGTTTTCATTCGCGCGTAATATAACTGCGAACGAATTCTCAGCGGCTCGATTTCTGCGGTACGTGATCGATAGCCAGCGGCCTGAAACACGCGGAAGAACAAGAGAGGAGTAAGAAAACAGATGTTTCACGCGCGTTTCCAACCAATCTTAACGTGCGTATCATAAGTACATATGCATGTACTTACATACGTCGCTTAATCCCCTGTTTCGGCGTGACCTCCGTGCGTTCTCGATACACCAGTTTCTCCCCGCTTACCGAAAAAATCTAATGAGTTTTCTAATCTTATCCTTAGATATCGAGAATACCGTTGTTTATGAACGTTATCAACGTTATCCCTTATCGTGCTTGTTATCGTGTTCGATTCCAGCGATAGAACGTTCGATAGTTGTACGATGTATATAGCACGAATGTTGCCGCCGAAAATTGGAAGGCTACCGCGAGCCGCGAGCCGCTAGCTCGTCAGATAAAGATCGAGGAAGAACGACGATGTCGCGCGTGATCCTCTTGAACCGTACGCTATCTGACGATGATAAAATATTGTGGACAATGCCGTGTGCAAACGTGCATAGATTAGTTAGATCGTTATCCCGAGGAAAAAACGGGATGACAATGCCGTGTGCAAAATGATTAGGTTGAATCGTTGCTCCAGGTTGCGTGGGTACATGGTGAAAACGGAGGAAGGAAGTTTTGTGCGAAACCGTGGATCTTTGAAGGAACATCCAAGGAAATTCACTTACGACTTACGAAGGGAGCGAAGGCTGAGAAGGAGGGTGGAGGGGATGACGAGCCGATCCGATCCGAATCGGTCCGATTCCGGAAGGATACTCCAACTCACAGCTTGATCCTTTCGTCGTCCATGATCCTCGTGCGAGTGAGTGTGCGTGCGCCTGCGGTGTACGAGTGTCACAGGATCGATTCACCGTGGGACGGTGGATCGGTCGAAAAAATATGGAAACAGAAAAGCGAAAGGGAAGAAAACGAAGACGACGCGCGACGACGTCCTGGCACGGCGCGACGCGACGCGAGGCGCGACGAGGCGAGGCAAGGAGAAGCGGGGCGTGCCGACGCGCGACGCGGTTAAGGGGGCTCGAGACGGCAAAACGGGAGCTCGGTCGAGAACGATTCCGCGAGTACTTTCGTGCTCGTGCTCCTGCTCGTGCTCGCGTATCAAGTCCTCCGCCGATCGGACAGACGTAGACGGACTGTGCGCGCGTCACTAGTTACATAAATAACGAAACCCGCATGCCACTTCGTACCGTCTTTTCGTAGAAAACCTTCTGTCCAGCCTAGTCCGTTTGTTTTACCAGATAGCTTAACTCTCGATGAGTTTCTCTTGCTTCCTCTCACTCTCTCCCTCTTCGCTTCAAGATCGCTACTCTCTACCGATTCTCTTCTCCTCCTACTTCGCCCCACCCCCTGCCCCCCACCACCTCCGATTCTCCCATTTTTCCCTTCCACTATCTGTTCCTGACTTTCCAACTTCCTCCTATCTGTCTGCCGTTTACTCGCTCTTTGTCGTGCTACATGACTAACAGAAGATAGCCTCGTGTCGTCTCGATGTATCCCACACGCTTTCCTGTTTCCGTTAGTTTTTCTGACGTTCCTTGCGATCACCGAGACTCCACCGACACACGACTATTAACCGTTCATCCAAGTTTCCTCGCGTTATCGATGCCATTTCGATCGATCGATCTCCTCCGACTACGATCGATTCTCTTCTGCTTTCTCTCGTTCTCACTCCCTCTCTCCCTCTCTCGATCGATCTTTTCTTTTTCTCGACTTTTGTTTTCGCACGATCGATATCGATCCCGTTTATAGATCCGTTGGTGAACAAGCGCGAAAACTCACGATTAAACAGCACGATAACTGCTGTAGAATAACGCGAAGCATCGACAATGCTTTTCTAGAAATCGCGGAGCAGCCTGTAAAAAGCCGAACGGTTGCTTTTCCATCTTAACTTCAGCAATCGTGAATTGTGCTTTCTTCCAACGGGATTTTCCACGACCCGAACGTATCGGAGTTTAAACGTGCTGCTAATCTTCCAACGGTAAACGCAATTCGATTGCATCGTTCGAAACGTGATCGTTGTTGTTGTATCGACAACTCGTACTGCGCTGCGTTCTCCTCACATTTCCCAAACAAAATCTCCTCGAGCATTAAACGAGCATTAAACGAGCATTCTCGATGATATACACGTAACGACAGAAGGAAAAGAATCACGAATACGTACCCGTACGTGCAACATCGAGATAATATTGTTCGCTTGAACGAGGTGCATAGAGCGCGTTTAGTCTTTTTTTGTCACCCTCTGTTCGACTTTTGTCGCAAGAGTGACGACAAGCCAAAAGTGAGCCACCGTTCAAAGGTACGCGGTACACTTCTCTCTATCTATAGCGCGAAACGAATATTCTTTCGATACCGTCGTGTCGCATGCTAGAGAATAAAAAAATTCGTAGAAGTTAATGTGATTTCAGTATATAAAACGATTACTATGCAAACTTCAAGATACGAACCGTCGGTTGACGCGAATCGAAATAAAATCTCCGACGTATTACATATGTAGTAACGAACGATCATTTCACCTATCCTATCAATATCACCCCGTGTTCCGTCTCGTATTTTCGTACATTGTAAACAATTTATAGTTACGAAAACAACGTTACATGCTTTTCTCTGAACCCAAGTGAACGTTGAAAACACTGTGAAATTACGTACAACGTGGGGTTGCCTCGAGTAGCTTTGTCCATTCTTGCAACAAGATGCAGCAGGTTTTGTCTCGTAGGATATATCGGATTTTTCTTCGATTTCGCCGTATAATACACGCGAACGAGAAAACGTGAAGCGCGATAAATGCCTAGTTCGCTTGGCTTGCGCGCGCGACCAATCTACCGCGCGCGTATGTTTTTCTATCGACGGAAGATGTCATTAGTAGCGAAATAAGATCAGTTTCTTCGTTACGTTTACCCATTCTTCAATTAGTCGATCGTCCTCGCGTTCTCCATCCGAGTATCGAGAGATTCGTTTGATACTTGAATTGAAATGGTGTTGTAATCAATGAAAACGTTCCTCTTTGTCCTCGTGCCTCGACGTATGTGTACCTTCGCGAGAATACTGATCGATTTCGCCTCGTTCTTTATTCTCGAGCAAACAACAAAAGTAAGAATCGAAGGGCACGCGTTCAACGTGTCTTCTTTATATGCCAAGCATTCGCTCGCAGCAGGAACGTATGTATGTATATATTCGTAGAAGGTAGTTTACAAACGTTACAACTTTATTTCTCACGACAATAAAGTAGACAATAGAAAATCACAATCGTGGCCACCACACGAACATAGTTCAGTGTCTACGATTAACTACTATAATACTGCGACAACAACGATTCGTCCAATCCGAATAACTTGATCTTTCACCAAACTCTCGAATGTAGTCGCGCGTTTCACGTTCCAACTTGTTCCGCAGTGTTCGCTGTTAGTTCTCTGTGGCTTCCAGTGTATCGATCGAAAGAATCGAGTCTTGCTTCAACAATCACCTTACGAGCATAAAAAAGTGACGGGTTCAAATTTTAAGTGTATGTAAAAAAGTTCCATTTTTCTTCTCTTCTCGTCTCGTCTCGTCTCGTCTCTTCTCTTTCGTTTCGACAACATTCCTCGCACTTTGTGCCACTTTGACTTACAATTCTACGTGCTTCGTGAAATCTTCCGAATCTTCGAGTATATCTAAAACAAAGAGAGTAACAGTAAAAAGAAACAAACGGAAATGTAGATATATCGTAGTAATCGACCATATATTGTACCGTTCTCTTCTTTCTCCATTTGTCTATTCTCGTTCTCTAGCTTCAATTGCAACATTTTTATTTCTTCGTCGTATCCAACCCATTCCGGTAAAATACGTACGGCAGCTTGTAACTTGGCTTCTTTAGTCATCGGGTTGTTACACTACGATAGAACAACGAAATATGGTTGAATCAGAATCGTTCAAGTTTCCCATTGCTAATCTATCATGCCAATCGGTAAACTATACTAACTAAATCTATAGTTTTAGCGTATTTCTTGGATGTATCGTCGCACCAAGTTTCGCACCACAACCATTCTTGCGGCAACGTTTTAATACCCACTTGGTGAATCATGTTATTAGGGAGATCCTGGAATGTAACGCTATTTGTAACGATCGTACGTTAGTTTCTTATATGATTTTAATATCTCTATCGTACGAACTTGGTCGAGATTGGCTAAACTGTTGGGATCTTGGCTCAGTGCTTGATACTGTCCCCGCAATCTATCTCCAGCTGCGATGCGTCGGAATCGTTTCAAGTCCACCACGTACAGAGCACTGATGTGATACGCGCGTCCTTGTAAGTGATTTCGCCAGTAGCCTTGCTTCCAAAACCTGAATCCATCCATTTCTGTTCTACTGTCACAGAACGGAGTGTACGCATACGGTGCACCGCCGAGATCCATGGTCGCTAATTCTTTTAAATCCGCCCTCACAACCTGACAACAACGTCGCGTTACAAATAAGTAATAACAAAATCCCTCTATAACAACAACAACAACAACAAGAGAAAGGAGGAGAAGAAGAAGAAGAAGAAGAAGAAGAAGAAGAAGAAGAAGAAGAAGAAGAAGAAGAAGAAGAAGAAGAAGAAGAAGAAGAAGAAGAAGAAGAAGAAGAAGAAGAAGAAGAAGAAGAAGAAGAAGAAGAGAAAGGAGGAGAAGGAGAAGCTAATGTAATAGATCGCTCACAATTCTTATACCTGATCAGCATCGACGAATATTATTTTTTTAACGTTTAACGGAAACAATACGTCCAAAAATAGTATTTTGTAGCCCCATATGGTTCTCTGCTTCTCGGTTTGTTGATGAAGCCAACGAGGCCACTTGTATTGGACGAGTTCGTATTCGAAACCGTACTCCTTTGCCATGTGCGGCAAGAAATCCTAGCGAAAGGTTCATTTTGTTTGTTAGTTACCGCGCTACATTTGTTAACTCCATTCCACGCATATAATCGCTTACTTTTAACGTCGGCGAAAGATAGTTTTTCAGGAACCAAAATTTCACGGGACTTTTAGTTTGCTTTATGACGCTCAACATCATAATTTTCAGAAATCTCTCGTACAAGTGACCAGAGGCTAGGGAGAAGATGTTTAACTTTTCGTCCTGATCGTCGCTATCGTCCGTTGCCGTAAATGTCCTAATTTCGAGGAGAGAAACAAGATTAAGAGGCAGAAGTAGGAAATAAAGTGTTGTTCTTTTTTGAAAATTACTTCTACGACAGACAACGTCCGTTTCAACTACAGGACAGTCGTTAAAATATTTATTTCTACGCGTTATGGCGAGTATGCGTTATGCGATGATATTTAAATGTGGTTGTGGAAAGCTTACCAAAATTTGGAAAAGCTAAAAAAAAAAGAGAATAAATAGAAATTAAAGTTAGAGGATAACCGAACGACGTGCTAAAAGTATTGCATATTTTTACTTAGCGCCAACGAGTTTGAAGCGAGTCTAAATCGAGATGGTCGATACGCGATCGACTGAAAGGGGAGAACAACACAAGTTTTACGTACCTAGAGATTGAGTTCCATAAGCCGGAACTTTTATCGTCTTCCGATAAAAGATCCATTCCAACTTTGTCCGGTTTCTTCGAGACTTTCACTTTCAGCACGTGACTTCTTAGCGAACTTATTACAACTTTTACGTCGTTGCCGTTTTGTAAAACGTCTTGGCCACTGATGGTTGTGAAATCGTAGATTTCTGCCGATCGTCCCTGTCGGAGACGCAACACCCATTCCCCTGGGTTTGCTTTAAGTTGAAAATATCCCAAGTTTGCCATTACTATAGTATCCACCATTAACGGTTGCTTTTCCGTCCCCAACGTAATTTGTAGACCACGCGGAGGATTTCCCATTACTGCTTCGAAACAATGACCCTCCAGTAGTAAATGCTCCAATTCGAATTCACTGTAACGACCAGTGATAAATATACCATTTATATTTATAGACATTTTTCTCTTGCACGGTGCACTTACCTGTGTACTCCAATTGCTACATTGTCCAATTTGATGTTATCTAAATCGTAAACGCTCCTAACCACTTCTACCAACCAATTTTCTGGCGCATGAATATACTGTGTCAAGAGAGATGAAGTCGGCAATTTCGTAAATTTTGCTATGGCTCCGTTGATACCTCCGTCGGAGGAGAATTGTAAGTGGGGTTCAAATACGTAACGATAAAAGCTGAAATAATCCAAATGAAATTAATAAGCAAAATTAATAACTGTGTGTGTGTGTGTGTGTGAAATGGAAATTGGAATACCTTTTCAACGGCATATCGCTATTCTTGTCCAAACAATTTAAAAACACTGTAATGTAACAGTTTAAAGACCGTTGAAGTGTCTTTAATATTGGACCTAATTTTTGAGCACCGCGAGATACCGGATCGACGATAGCGACTAAATTGAACGCCACTTGATCGGGATTCGCTGCTGGAACCTTTATGACGCTAAATATTTTCAGAAGCAAAACATAAAACGATGCGTACATATTTACTCGTCCGTCTTTCTATTCTCACTTGCACATACTTACCTATAGTCTTCACCGTGGAAAGGAACATGGAATCGACTTCGAGTTTGAGGGTGCGATGCTAATAACGATGTAATCTTCATCAGCATGTCATCTGTGATTTCGTTCCTTTCTGAGAAAAACAAAGTAAACAAAAGGAAACAATCGTTGAAATAATTTCACGGTCTCCCTACTATATAATTATCGATGCTTTAAATTATACATATTTTCATCGTTCGTTTAGCTTTCGTACCGTACTCATCGTCCTCGTTCTCCAATAACTGGCCCTTTATTAATTTCTTAAACAACTTGTCGTCGTAAGTACTTTGACTGAATCTTTCCAATAGCGAAAAATCCTCGCTTGTAAATTCTTCACCGACATCTAAAGGACCGATTAGTCGTCCGTTACACACGATCGCTCTTGTTCCTTTTTCCAGGTTCAGTACCATCTTAACGTATCGACGATGCACAGTCAACTCATCCGTTTGTTTTTTCAATTCTTCCCTTACATCCTCCTCCTAATTTTATAATTAATTTATCAATCAAAACGATCATTATTGTTTTTCAACACTCGCTAACTTTCAAAAAGGAGTAGTCACCTCTATGTCAAATGTACCGCTCACGATATCGCTGACAACGTCTTCCTTAATCATGTTACGAATAAAACGCATAGCCTTTTCTATCGGAAGGCCATTTAGTGCAGCCAGTACTATTTGATTAATGTCAACCGTATTATCAACATCGTTTGTGTCAAGAAGCGGATTAACAATTACGGTAATTCTGACGTCTCCGTTCGATTCCTGTATCACATGGTCGCAATATTTTCATTTCCCTTTGGTCTATAATTACATGAGTAAGTAAGAAAGTGAGTGAGGTAATTATACTTACCATGTGGTCCAGTGCTTCGCGCAGTAACTGTCTACCTGTTGAGTCGTTTAAATCTGTCACAACCCAAAAGGTGTACAAATGGTGTACGCTTGTACGACGTGGTACATACATATAACGCATTTTGTTCATTAACCAAGTCGATAAATCTTGAGGGCTCCATTTGCTGTAATCTTCGTCGCTGGGTACAGTTCCGATTAAGTTCAGCCATGTGTGCTTTTCTGGTTTTAATATTCTCTCGTTTAAGCTACCACATGAAACCAGAGAAATATAAATGGGTGGAAGTGAAATTGGAAATATCGTCTATTTGAAAGTTTCGTACCGAGGCATAACGTTCGGCTGATTCATGATATAATCTACCACGTCGTCTCCTTGGGTTAATTCTCCTCGGTAAACTGCTTTTTGCAATGTATGCGCTTGTGACATAATTGTAGATAGGACAACTTCTTCGAACGAATCGGCGTTTAACTGATCGGAAGGTAAAGGTACTCCGTTGAGTAAAGCTTGGGGAAATTTCTTGAAACCTGACCGCTTTACAAAGTCGCTGGCTAAATGACGCCCTACATCGTATTCAGATTCTTCGCCGAGGATATAATTTATGTTAGCAGACGAATCTTGCGCTCTTACAGCTCTTTTTACGTCCTCTACATCTACTCCCTCTGGTCCGATATAATTTCCCAGCTAAAACAGAACGCACCGCGTATTGGCAAGTTTAGTTAATTACATAGAAATCATGGATATACACGCGGAATGATTGAATACCGTAAAGTCTTACGTCTATTAGAAATTGTAATGCATGTTCCGATCCTTTAGCTTCCGCAAAGTAATGATACACGTTATTAACAGCGACGCTAGCGTCGGTCAAGCCAGTTGTAGAAGTATCGTAGTTCGTTACAAAGACGAAACCTACACGTAGTGGTGCGGTATGTAAATATAGAGATTGTGCTAAAGTTATCAAAGATGTAGATTCTGCGCTTAAAGGATCGACAATTAGTACCTGTCGAAGTAGGTACACAATTTTTAAATAAGCTTGCGCCTTTTCATTATTCCATTCATTCTAATTACTTTAAATGATTTACAAACCAGATTGTACAAATTTTTTCGAATATCTCTAAGCATTCCAGGAAAAATTGGTCTTAATAGTTCCGTTATCGACGATGGCCATCTCTCGTAAGCCGAATCCTGTTCGATATCGTTTACCCAAATTATAGCCGAATCCCGAATGTCTATTGCGAATTCTTGTTTATCCATATTAGTGGATAAATCCAAAGCCAACAATGTGCTCATCTCTTTGTTACTAAATCCTATAATGGAAAAGTCCATTAACACGAGAATATCTTCCTTTCCACGTCTAATGTGTTATCTGCTAGTATATAGCACATTGTCTTACCGATCTTACGAAGGGATTCCATTACTCTTAATTCGCTTCTTAATGATTCCAAAAGACTGAGCGCATCTACTGCTTCCAAATCGAAAAACAGTCCATTTATGAAAAGTGCAGTATCCGTAGCTTGTATATTTAAGCTCGTAGAAAACATTGCTTGATTCAGTTTCATTTCTTTCTTCATTTCGACATTTACTTTTGTTCTAATTAAAGATTTTGCCTTCGAACCAATTAAAAATCATCATTTATTAGAGCAAATCAAACGATCGGGATAACCTTGCTGAAATCATAAAAACGTATGTACCTGCATCGGAAAATTTTGCGAAATATCCGTTAGAACGTTAATCGCTTCGCTCGTAGGAGAATTCATTATTCTCTCAGCTGCTTGATGACTTAATTCTTGAAATTGCCACACCTTTAAAGCACCAATTTCATGACTAGTTTCAAGCATGTGAGTTTGTAATTTATCCAACTCTGTCTGTTTATCAGGATATAAATTTCTAAAATGATTAAACTATATTATGAAATGTACTAAATATATACTAAATTAAACATATACACTTTGAATTAAGCAGCGTATTTCATATTTTTGCAAAGGGTGCATTAAGAATATAATCACTTTACTTTAAAGTCATAAAATTAATTCCATCTACTTCCTCCGTGCTGTCATTAGCAGTTTCCGAGTCTTTGTCTGCGTTATCTTTGATATCTGAATCGTCTGTTGCTTTATATTCTGTAGACTTCATTTGTAGTTCTGCACCATACCCTGACAAACGTACATTTCTGTCTACTCTATCCTGCATATACCATAGGAAATAATGTTAAATGTTTGTTATTAATGCTATGTTAAATGTAACTTACAATGTACCTTTAAATAATGCCGCAAGATGTAAGTGATTCCATTGGTTTCTGCAAGAGCTTTTAATTTTTCGTGAAAATCTGAGAATTTTGGTGTTCCAACTTGACCATATAGTATAATAATTTTTTCCGACTGTTGAGAAGCATGATAACGATGATCTACACTATAGGTATCTGGTATTAACCAAGTTTCCTGTAAAATAAACGATTAGATATACATATTTTACAGCAAAAAGTTTATGCACTATTCACCTGACTGGCTAGCTCTTCCAATTCTTCCAAAGAACAAGTAAATCTTCCACCAACATCTGCTACATTATAACAATCAAGTATAGAAATATTCTTATTTTCTGCCATTTGAGTAAACATCTCAACTCGTGCTGAATAAATGCGTAAAGATAATCCTAACTTTAATAATGCTACTTCTGATGATGACAAATATTTCTTGGTAAATGCAATAACAGCATTGTAGTTATCTTTTTCTGTGGCTACGGAAAATAAAGAAATATGAAATTATATTACTCACAATTTAACAATGGTAAATTAGCTAAAAATTACCATTTCTCATATCATAATTGGCAAAGGTATCTATGAATTTCCAAAAGTAACTTGGATTTTCGTCGTTTAAATATTCTGCAGCTTCCAAAGCTAAAGGTGTTTCTTTCCATTTTGCATCTATTTGAGTTGTCACATATTTATTTACTCTCTTATCTGCTTCAAGATGTATTGCACATAGTAGTAAAAAATAAAGAGGTACAATCAACCGCATCTGTAAATTATATCAAAATTATCGATAATGTTTAATGCAAAAATATAAATGTAAAAGATTCGATCTAGTTCCCAGAAATATGCCCCCGAAAAAAAACTGCTGCGTGTTAATAGCTTTAAAGTATCGAAACGTTAAATATTGTATTCCGATTTGCTACATGACGATCGTAGATCAAAATTCACCGTTGCAATTGTAATCTTCGATTATCACTATTTCAGAATAATTAAAGAATTATACAATTCGTTTTTCATAATAACGTTAAACTGTCGAATAAAGTAAAAGACAATGGAATCAGCGAATATGAATAAAAATAATGGTCACAGTATAGTTATGGATTTTTCTGATAATGTAATACGTGGAAAAAATTTGTACTTTTTTTTTATGAAATTTGCATACCTTTAAATTTATAATAAAACTCATATTATAAAAGAAGAATGGAGTAACGATGATAGCCAATCCATGCAGAACACGTGCCGGTAAATATCGTACGGTGGAAGAATTCGACACGTCTATAATACGTAGTATGCGATTAAATACTGTACGTGGAAGCACTCATTTACGAATTTTACAAATTACTCGACCGACCTGTTAGATCGCCAGATATCGAATATAAGCAACGTATTCCTTTTTACAAGAATGGCGTATATTTTTGATAATTTATTTTTGTTTATGAATTTAATATAGTATTTTCAATGTGCTTTCGATAGAACCTAATAAAATTTCCTAGAACTTTTTCTGAAACCTAGAAAAAATTTATTCATTATTTATAATGATTTTACGCTTTATTCGAATTGTGCAAGAATAAGTAAACGACAATACATATGTTTCGGCTATGCCGTGCTATTTTAATCGTATCGTAATGAAAAATAATACGTACTATACAAGGCAGTCAAACGTTGTTGATACTTACGAAGCAGCGTCTTAGAAGTGATTTAACCCTTTTACCGTTAATCGCATTTGGAAAGAATAGAACCGTTGCATCATGACTATAATAGATTATGTACAAACTTTATCCGATAATCCTTACTTTGGAGCTGGTTTTGGGCTTTTTGGGTTAGGTGCTGGAGCAGCTTTGTTACGGAAAGGAATGCAAGCTGGAATGATATTTTTTAGGTATTATTTATAGATAAATTGTACTTGATGTTTCACTTTCATATTTGCACATATGACATTTAACTTTCTGCAAATACAGGCGACACTATATGATCACCTTAGAAGTTCCATGTCGAGATAAAAGCTACCAATGGGTTCTACAATGGATTACGAATAAGGGTGCGAAGGAAACGCAACACCTTTCTGTCGAAACAAGCTTTGAGCAAAAAGAAACAGGTCACATAAAAACTAGATATGATTTTATACCAAGTATTGGAACACATTTCATTAGGTTAGAAATAACTGTACTTATCGCTCCAATATGTCATCTGACATTGACAAGTATGAGATTCATATGTAATAATTTGAAGGAAATGGATTAGAATGTAAATGCAAGTGATATCCTTCTTATTTAAATTAATAGATATAAAGGGAATTGGATAAAGGTGGAACGAACCAGGGAACAACAAACTTTGGATATACAAATGGGTATACCATGGGAAACTGTACAACTTACAGCTCTTGGAAGGGATAAGAGTATATATTTTAATATTTTAGAAGAGGGTAAGAGAGCAGTTAACTAGGCTAGTATTATAGAATGATGAACAAATGCAAGGAGAATACGCACACACACACACATGTGTATATATATATATATATATTTACAGCTAGGCAAATGGCTTTAAAGGAGTTTGAGGGCAAAACAATAATGTATACCGCGATGGGAAGTGAATGGCGGCAATTTGGACATGCTAGAAAACGAAGACCGCTGGACTCTGTTGTCTTAGACACAGGTGTTGCGGAAAGAATAGTAAATGATTGTTGTGAATTTATAAAAAATCCTTCGTGGTATAGCGATCGCGGTACGTAAATGATATTGTGAAGGGAACAGCTGTTTGCAAAATAATAAAGACGTTTGTTAATTACGTAGGAATTCCATACCGTCGAGGATATTTACTGTACGGCCCTCCGGGTTGCGGTAAATCGTCTTTCATTACTGCGTTGGCTGGTGAATTGGAACGGGGTATTTGTGTTTTAAATCTGTCAGAGCGAGGCTTAACAGATGATAGACTAAATCACTTATTAGCGGTAGCTCCTCAACAAACTATTATACTTTTGGAAGATATCGATGCCGCGTTTGCTAGTCGAGAAGAAAGTAAAGAAAGTAGGTGGTTTCAATATTCGAAGCAACGATGTGGAATTGCTTGGGCACAGCATTAATCTAATCTCTTAAATTAAGATACTATTTATTTCTGTGCGCTTCGTTTCAGTGAAAGCTGCATATGATGGATTAAACAGAGTTACGTTCAGTGGTTTATTAAATTGTTTGGACGGTGTTGCTTCTACCGAAGCAAGAATTCTGTTCATGACGACCAACTATCTAGAAAGACTAGATCCCGCGTTAGTTAGGCCGGGTAGGGTAGATGTAAAGGAGTACATAGGTATGCGTATATAGCATTCGACGAGTTGCTAGAATGTTTCGCAGTAATCGAATTTAATCAACGAACGATATGTTCTGTTTTAGGCTGGTGCAGCGCGAAACAAGTGGAACAAATGTTTTTGAGATTTTACAAAAATATCGACGGCAGGTCAGGTGAACTTGCCAAGGAATTTACAAAAATTGTGATATCACAAAAAAGGAACGTTAGCCCGGCACAAATTCAAGGATTTTTTATGTTTCACAAAAACAATCCTGCAGACGTACTGAAAAATGTTTCATATATATGGGACGTTACGTGATAAGTAGTGCTGTTAGGTATTAAATATGAATAATGTAGAACCGTTAATTCCAATGTACGGAAAAGATACGAATAGATATAGTGGTAAAGTCAAGATATTCATACGAAGTATTTAAGAATTGTGTAATCAGTTGGCTTTTTTAACTCCCCAAACACTTTGTTAACGTGTAGGTTTAAAAATAATACAATACAATAGAAATTTTCTATTTTTACAGTCGTTTATTTCGCATATTTTATTGCTACATTGTGAATGACGATTCAAAGACAAAATACATCATAGCAAAATAAACATTGTATACTTTTTCTTTTATTTTTATCAATAGATTTGTTCGGTTACGTAATTTTATATGCGTATACCGTTATATATTTACACAATATTAACGTGTTCTGTCACGTTAATACCAATTGGTTTAACCAATTTCATTTGAAATAAAGATTTTTTTAAATCAATATAATGCTATTAGTAAAAATACATTATAAATGATACTTTTCAATCATTTCTTTAGAATTTTGATTTAGTAGAAAAACTTTTCCATCGTTTTGTTAATGTAATTGCATTTGTTAAGTCCATAAATAGTACACGTTCAATGTACGAGACAAGGATGAAAAAAATAATGATATCTTTTGCAACAAGTTCCATGGGATGTCGAGTATTCGATCATCAGTGATCGGATTATCACGCCTAATGAGATAGAGCATGCAATTACGGGGATATATTAAAATCAATTGTAATTGATGAAAGTGTATCTACTCCCACACAATTGGCATATATCATTATTCACTTACTTGGTTCTAAATTTTTTGTCAGGCTTTTATTGTTGTTTCGAGCAATGTTAAAAATATCAAAATACTTTCACGTAAACGGCATAATCTTTAAATCACCGCTACGCTCCTACTGTAATCGGTATAAACGTAAAGCTAATAGTTTTAATTGCTGAAACAGACGTCGGTACGGTGCGATAGAAAATATAAAAATTTTGAATATCGAAACGATATAATACATAGGTATATATCGTAAGAGTGACTTGGTATTTTACAATTGATCTATACTCATGTACTCGGTGCTTAGAAACTCCAAATGTATGGCTCATAATTTAATGGGTCTGGTTGATCCATATGTCCTGCGTGACTATTACTTCCAACCATACACGATGGATAGGCAACTCCGGTATTTCCTTGTCCCGACACGGGTGCTACAATAGCTGGTGCTAATCGACAATCGGGTCTTTGTTGTTGCATCATAGAACCCATTGGCTGTATCGATTGCGGTGCTGGCGGAGGAGCTGCTGGCGGAGGTGGATGCGATTGAGATTGAACAATCGTAGGAGTAGGTGCGGGAATATTATGAACAGGTTGTATTATACTAGAACCTGAAACATAGTTTGCCACTAAACAGTGGTTTAGAAAAGTATCGATTAATATTTTCTGCCAGGTGAAACGTGGTGCGCGATGTTAAGATATTGTTGGCAACTTACTTGTTCCAGGATTATGGAATGTTAAGGTCGTACTTTGTTCCGGTATCATGTTTGCCGGTGGTGGAACTATTTTCACCGAAGCGGATTCGGTTTTTCTTTTTCTGTTGGATAATCTTTTATGCGAATTGTTCAACGTTTGGTCGCGTTTCTTGTTATTCCCTGATTTTCTCTTTCTTTCACCAGGTAGTTTCGGTTTATTTGGTCGATTTCCACTGGGCTGCCAGAGATGTACAGTATGTACAGCATTTCCTTCTCTAAAATAATCGATCAATGATTGATATATATGTATATACATATGTAAAAGTATACGTGTGTAACAAAGAATATTTCTCTCTTTTGACTCTTTCTCCTTGAGTTAAAAAATGTTTGTTTGTTTGTTTACATACTAACCCCTGTTTTTTTCCAAGCTTCCAACTATGTATACCAGCTTTATGAAGCCTTTCCCTGATCGTATCTACGCTACACTTTAATCCTAGGGCAGGCGCAACGTGTTTAGCTGCAGTTAATGGTTGCTGAGTAGCCATAGCAACGATAGCTTCGTCTTGCTCTTTAGTGGTGATTCGCCGGCGACCCTTTCTTTCCTTAGTCTGTACGTTGCCTTCTTTGTGCCAACGTTCTAACCATCTTTTAACGGTACGTTCCTATTTAATAACGAGCATTGCGTATACGGCCATCCTCAAGATGGTTTTAATTATGTGAATCCATCAAGACGAACATGTTTCTTCTTACCGATCTGTCGATTGCAAGTGCGATAGATAACGTTGATAAACCGGCTTCAGACATGCCGATCATACGATTTCGAATTTCAACGCTGGTTTCCAATGTCCCTTTTGCTTTCCCGCCTTTTTTTTTCTTTCTCTGCGATCCACTTTTCGCGTTACCTTGTTTCGATGTATCTTTACTCTGATTAGATTCTACGCTAGAAGACTGATTATTATCTTGAGAACCACAAGTATTAGAATTATCGGAAGTTAAATTCGAATTGGATTGCGGACTAGCTAATTGAGGGTGTAAATGATCATGATGATGATGCTGGTGCTGGTGCTGGTGAACTTCTACTTGAAGTTGGCCTTGTTGCTGATCAAGATTATGAGTTTGATCCACAATGGTTTGTTGTACTTGTTGTATATGGTGTTGCGGTTGCTCTTGTTGAACGTGTAATTCTTGAAGTTGCTGAGACGAAGCTGCTTGTTCATGAGGTATCGGATTTGGTTGACCCTAAGATTTGAGAAAATTCTAACATATGGAAGAAAGGTTTACAGAAAGGAATGCAAGTTGTACAAACCTGTGGATAATGATGACTCGGTTGTACTAAATCTAAGGGCCAACTCTGAGAAATGTTTAATCCAGGATGATGATAGATAGGTTGCGTTTGCTGAACTAAACTTAGAGCATTGCCAAACTCTGTTTGATTTTGCTGCAAAGGTTGAGCAGTTGCTTGTACTTGACCAGCTTGAGACTGGGAAGGATTTTGTTGGGAGTATATAAACTCGTGCTGTTCATTGGTAGGTTTAACACTTTCTACCGGTGCACCATCTCCGACGTATATATCTTTGGCTCTAATTTTTCTGGGTGGATTTTTCTTTTTGATTATTGCAGTATTCTTTTCGCTCTTATTGGACTCTTTGGAAGACTTTTTTTTCCCTAACTGCGTTCCAGTGGGTCTCCATACAGGTTGCTGAATGGCAGCACCATCAGTATCGCTGTGGATGAAGAGGCAGAATGTGGGGAATAGGAATAAAATAGTTGGTTGCTGTTAGCACTAGCGTTAATAACGCGTTGCTCGAAAACTAACCCGAGCGGAATTCTTTGCATGTACTTTCGCGAAGGACTCCAATTATGAATGCCAGCCTTGTGAAGCCTTTCTCGTATAGTATCGACGGAGCAAGTTAGCCCTAAGGCAGGAAGTACAGCTTTTGCCGCGGTTATCGGTGTCTGTGTAGCCAGTCGTACAATTGCTTCATCTTGCTCGGATGTTGTGGCTCTTTTACGTCCGCATCGTTCTCGAGTTTCCACCGTGCCTTCTTTGTCAAATCTGTTTAACCATCTTTTCACGGTGCGTTGCTAAAAGAATAAAAGTCGCGTTAATCTAGTTTTTCGTGAATTGAAACATACTTACCGAGCAATTTACAGCGGCTGCGATTTCACGTAGACCTAAACCGGCTTCGTACATTCCAACCATTCGGTTCCTCAATTCCGGCGTCGTTTCGTGCACTCCCCTCGTTTTTCCCATTTTGTTCTTTAAACTGGTTGTTATGCCGTTTAACGACGAGAAAGAATCAGTGGAAAAGGAGTTGCATGAAATTTTAAATTTTACGCGTAAAGTGACGTAAGAGTAGAATGGATCACGTGACAATGGCAGTGCTCTATCAGAAAGTTTTTCAAAATTTTAATTAGGTTCTTACGATCGCAGTTTTCGTTTGTCGCGCGATTTTCGAATATCGAAGAACTTCCATCGAATCATCCTATTTTGCAATCGAAATCCCGCTACGAACGAGTTTCAAAAGGTATTGTTTCTTTCTCGCTTTTGGCATATCGTATCGTCGTATCGTACCGTACTAGAAACGGGACGAAATCTTGGCGTCGACGGAATGCAATTGGAACGTTCAACGAACTCGATTTCATTCGAAAAATTCACCTGGATAATTCTTCTTTGATTTCGACGGTTTGTTCGATGGCAGAGGGCATCGGCAACTTCTTATATTTTCACCCTCGATATACGTCGTACACCTCGTTTTAGGCGAAATACACTGACTCGAAAGAAACGCTGCAGTCAATACAACTTCGGCTGTACAGTCCGTTGAGATTCTTTTGACCTCGCTTTGTCTTTCGCGATTCGAAATTCGTTGAAGCATCGCTACGGAGTTTGTTGTTGTTTTGAAGAGAGTCGCGAAGATGGTTATTTAAGAGCGGAAACGTTTCTGGTTGGAAAACTGACACGAGACTGCGACAGTGTCGTCAATTTTAATTCAGTCAGACTGTACTGTGTCATCGACCGTACAGTCCGTTGAAATCGTTTTATTCTTGGATAATTGAACGAATTCGACTCGTTGGAGAGATTTCGAGGAAAAGGAATGGAATAGCGCATGGAACGTATTTTTCACAAGTTCAATCAAATAAGTAGACACGATGTTACAAATGGTACACGACGGTTGTTCTCGTCAATAATAAATCAGCTGACTATAGATCGGCGAACAGCGGGAAAAACATGAGACGACGAAAAGGTTATGTCAAATGAGAAAACTATTCGCGTAACGGCGCGACATTTCGTTGGTTATCGAGCGAGCGAACGGTTATCGTTCGAATTAGCTGGATCTGTGTCGAATTTTGTTTCTGTAGACGTAAACACGTGAATTAGAAGAAATGGGTTTCGGTCGCGTGTACGATGGTCAATAATTTTAAAGGACGACTGCACTCGAGACGACATTAGTCAGGGTTAGCTCGGGTATATTCGCCCACCTTCGCCGGAATTGTATTGACCCAGAAATTGCTGGCTTCGTTGGCTTACTTGTCGGGGGTCTCGCGCGCGTTAGATATTCGTATTTTGGCGGGAATATTTCATTGTTCCCTTGGGTTATTAGGCAGATGTTATCGTATAGGTAAGTACTTAGTTGGACATACTACATACAGTAGGTACATATAAAAGTAGGTAAAATGGAAGGAGTATTCGAAGGAGGGGCTATGTAGAGAGTTGTGGGAACGTGGATAGGCATAATTTTCGTTGGTTGGTAATTTGTAAATGAGGAATGAATAGGAACGAAACGAGGCGTTTAAATCGGCTGGGTGTGTAGGAGATAAGAGAAATTACGTAGGGTCAGTTCGTAAAACGGTAACATCCGCCAATCAAATCTGCGTTTATGCGAACACCCTGGCCTATATAGAATCGAAAGGTTCGTTCACCCATGACTGGTGACTGAAAAGATGTCTCTGGTTAATTACAGATTTGAACGTTGGTTTGATAGAATGATTTGAAAAATGCTGCATCACGTTACAATCGATTTGGGAATAGGGTGGATAGATTTTAGGCATAAAAGCTTCTCGATCGGGAGACGATGGTGTGTGTATAGAGGGAAAGTTCGCGGAGGATGGAAGGAAGGTGGCGACGACAGGCGCGATTCGGTGGTAAACGGGAGCGATACGCCGACGAGAGATCTGGTCCGTTTGGTGGTCGATCTGTCGAGTGCGTCGCACAAGTTCAGTCGCGCCCTCGCGCTCGCCGACATCACCGTCTTGGATTACCCTCGCATCAGACCCTGGAAAGCTTTGTGCTAAGCTGAAGTTGCGATCGATCGATCGATCGATCGTTGGCTCGCTCGCCCGTCCGCGAATCATGAGGAGCTCGGTATCGTTGGGCTTGTTGCTTCTCTGCTTGATTCGGCCAGCGGTCGTTCGTTGCGGGGTATGTAGTAACATTGTCTCTTCTGTCCTCTCTCATTTCTTGCATTCGAAGAAGACTACTAATTGGTAGAAAAAGAAACGCTCGCTCGCTCACTCGCGATCACCGATAGATAAGGATAAGGATAAGGATAAGTGCGGTGCGGTGCATGCGATCTATTAGTTGCACGTGATCCGATCCCATTCGATTCGATTCGATTCGATCTCGAATAAAAGGAAGATGTCCCGTAGACGCGACCGAGTTTCGTCTCCGACGAGATGATCGCGACCGCAGCCAGCGTGGTGAACGCTTGCCAGACGCAGACAGGAGTGGCGACAGGTAAAATCATTTTATAGAATGGCAAGGGTATACAGCTCGCGCACAGCCATCCCTCGATTCTTTTCTTTCTTCTGTTTCAGTGGATATAGAGGCGGTGAGGAACGGCACATGGCCCCAAACGCAGGAGTTGAAGGTAAATATGCGTGGCGGTTAGCATTGGAGAAAATAAACGCTGCTGCTTTCTTTGCTTCCCAGTGTTACATGTATTGTTTATGGGAACAATTCGGTCTAGTGGACGACAAGAGGGAACTCAGCTTAAGCGGCATGCTTACCTTCTTTCAAAGAATACCAGCGTACAGGGCGGAGGTTCTGAAAGCGATCAGCGAGTGCAAGGGGATCGGTAAATATTTCGGTATCTAGTGTATTTCATATTTTTTTCATTATATCGATCGATCGACCGTTTTCGAAATTCGTTCATAGTTGTCGCTCCATTTCTCCTCTATCCAGTTTCGATTACGCACGATCAATCGAGTAGTCGAGTCGCAACCATTTCACCCGCTCACCGATCTAACCATCCTTATTTCAGCTAAAGGCGACAACTGCGAGTACGCGTATACGTTCAATAAGTGTTACGCGTTTTCGTCTCCGCGGGTAAGTAGTAAGTTTATTCAGCGAATAAGAGGACCTTCGTTTTCAATCTTCAATTCTCCCTTTCCTCTTCCAGACTTACTATCTCTTTTAATCCAATTCCACGTGAATCGAAGGAGAAGAGGGGAACAATCCTCGAAGAAGAACTATACCCCCTTTTCCCTTTGCCATGTAATGGAATCGTACTTGTACGAGCGTAGACGTCTCTCTCTGTACGAGGCGTTAATAAAAGGAAACATTCGCCAAGCACTGATCGCGCTTACGTTTTACTTTCGTCTCACCGTTCCCTGCGCCTCGCCAATATTAATTCGCCAATTCAGGTCGCATGCTTGCTCCGAATGACATCCGGAACACACTTTTCTCACCTCCATTCTATATGTACAAAGAATTGCACGAGCGTAACCGTAACCTGCGCTTATTGCTTCTTATTCGGAAATGAACAATTCTACTTCTGTATGCAATTTAGACGTATTCGATACGAGCAACAGTTCGCGTAATCAACGTCCTTTCGAAAATCTCCAGTTATACCATATATTTACACTAAACTTTGTATTCCCGTCGCTCTTTAGTCGTTGCACGGTGTTATTAGAAAATTTGACCAATTATTACTTCCCACTCGGCGCGAGAAACGCATGCGTATAAATGTTACGAATTCGTAATAACGAGATCCAGTCGATCGTTGGAGATTTAAAGGGAAAGATGAGAGCCGCAGAACTTTGTCTAATTTCGACGTGCCTGTTAATGTTGCAACTTCTTCCCGTTTACGGAGGCTCGGTAAGTGCCCGAACGTTCTTTCCTCTTTCTCTCCTTAATCGATCGAAAATATTCTACGAACAAGGCCGATCCGGACGACTTTAGAAAAATGACAGCTGGCGTTAGGAAAAAGTGTATCGCGGAGACTAAAGCGACGTTGGGTAAGCAAATAAGTCTAACGGAACGTTCTATTGTGTCAAATAAGCTCAACGGTAATTTTCTTCTTCAGAGATGATCGAGGGTACGGAGTATGGAGAATTTCCCGATGACAATCGATTGAAATGTTACTTCAAATGCGCCCTCGAGAAGTTTAACATGGTATAAATTTGTGTATTCGCGAGTTTCGTTTGTCGTCGCGTCGCGTGCAGTAAGTAACGGGTTGTCGTTTTATTTGAAACAGATGGACAAGAATGGTAGGATAAACTACAATTTACTGAAAAAAATGATTCCGGATCCTTACAAAGAAATAGGCAACGACATGGTCGATAGTTGTAACGAAATTGGTAAGTGTTCCAACCACTTGCAACCACTTGACGAATAATCCTTTTCTCTCTCTTTTTTTCATTCTTTTAGACGCAACGGATAAATGCGAGAAGGCTTTTAACTTTATGAGATGCATGTTCAATGTGAATCCTATGGTAAATCCAATTCTCGATTAATCGAAGGGCTACGATAGTAGTCGCACAACATCGTTCCGTTTCACGAAAAATCGTTCTCTGTTTCTCTAGGCATTTATCGCTCCATGACCGCGATCAGACGTACGACGACGACGACGACGACGACGAAGAAGAATTTATCGTTCGATGAATTACAAAGCCAAGTTATGTTACACGCACCCGCAATAAAAGCATGATTATCCATGAAAGTGACGTGTTGGTTAGTAACGTATCTATATGAATCTATCTACGAACGCTACGAATGCCCCGAAAGCCGTTCGTTCATTTATGCCGGCGTGAATCGTTAGGTACAATGATGAAATATATCCGCTAAATCGCTCCTCTATGTATATTTATACATACATATGTACAGTACTTAACGCGTAGCGTGAACACGGTGGGTAATAGACAGGATTAAAAAATTGGTCACGGTGGTTACATCTTGCGCGGCTTGATTTTTCTCTTGTTAATGTTCATTATTTGCTCGACTATGATGTCGTCCGCTCTTGGATCGATCGGAACAGCTTGTGTCGGAGTTCTCGTGTTCGGTACCGGTTTCGACCACCTTTCGACCAATGCGTTCAACCACAGCCACAGTCTTTCGCGATTGAAGAACGCGACGGTAACGAGCATGATGAAAGGTAACGCGACTACGGACGTTTGGTTCATGTCGCTCTGGTCAACCTTTCGTTCCGCGTTGAACGTCAGTTTCACGTACTTGAACGAGGAATTCGCTTCGAAGTAAAACGGAGCGGTTTTATACTTGTGCAACGTATGGGACAGAGAAGACTCCAATTGCACAGAGTATTTTCTCCCGTCCGCCTGCAACGGAGGCAGATGCACGAGGAAGCCAGCGTTGTACGCGCTACCACCGACCTTGTTCAGCTGCGGAGCCTCTAATTTCGCCGTATGTAACGGAGACACGGGCGTGTCTTCTCTGCAAAGTTTCACCTTTAATGTACGATAGTGTTCCGGTTGCGCGGACACCACGTGTACGGAAACGTCGGTGCGAGATATCGGATGAAACGCAACCAATCGAAGACCTCGAATGTCCGTCGAAGTCTGCACCGATGTAGAGACAGGACTAGTACGCTGGATGTGCGAATTAACTTCGGCATTCGGTTTCAGCCGGAAAGCATAAGTGCACTGTGTACGAAAAACGTAACGAACGACCAGTTAGGAACGGATAAACGATAAACGATAAATCGATCGAAATTTACGCTTACCGTCGGTTGAAGCCCTCTGATTCGAAAGCTACCGTTCTCTTCGGTGGTGGCCTCCTCCTGAAGATTGTCGCAATCTCCTTGTCCTTGAACTTCAACCAGTAATCCAGCTTCCGGTTCGCCGTTTAGGGACGTGACAGAACCGTACGCGCTGAACGCCACCCTCTTCCCGAAAAGACTTACTTTTACTGTCGCACCTTCCACAACTTTGATCATTTTCGACGGAGGATCGAAACGGTACTCCTTCATCATTGGTCTCAAATAATATTCGCCAGGTGACAGAGAGTTGAAGATTAATTTTCCATCTTCGCCGGTTATGCTGTTCTTTCGATAACTTTGCCCACCGGACAAAGACAATAGGACACCCTGGCATTATTACGAATAAACAAAATTATTCCCATAAAACTACTTCCTTCTCCTTTTTATGATTCGTGTTAGAGTGTAAAACGCACTTGCAACGAAATGTTGTCGGCTTGATCGGACACCTGTACGATAATTTCGGCCAATTTGTGAGCGGAAAATACACCGTCGGCGTCAGGTCCTGTGATTACGAATCCCTCCTTTTCCGCAGTCACGCTGATTCGTCGAGGAATCAAGAGATTAAACGTATATTTGTATATGCACAGGAAACGGATGAAAAAGAAGAGGGAAATGAGCGTATACCTGTACTTTATTTTGCCGTCCAAAGGACCGATAGCGTACGTTCCATCGTTTTCCGTCACCAGCGTGTGTATCGGTGAAGATTTATCCTTGCCAAATATTTCCACGGTAACTCCCTTCAACGGCGGATTAATTCTACCAGCGATGATCTACACGCGACAATTTTTAGTTTCGTCACCCGCCAAACATGTTTCAACATGATTCATTACCTTTCCTAAATCACCATCGAACGTAGCGATATCGTCCTGGCAATCGTTCACGCCCAGCACCTTCAACGATGCCGGGCTAAATAGGAGAATGTCCGATAACGGTGTAATAGTATAGACGTTATCCGTCTTCGCTTCGAACTCGAATTCGTACTTGTACGAGGATTTCTGTTGCTTCCACTTTAACGGTCCGAGCCTACGTGATTGAGATAAGAACATTAACAACGTAATCAGAGATACGAAAGAAGTAACGAATAGCGTACGTCTTTGTATTTATCGCTGTAGAATCTCCCGCTGCATTTTCGATCTTCACTTTAATTCCGTCTGACACGGAACGGGATACAATGTATCCTTTGTGTCTGTGTTCCGTCGAATGTAACAGAACAGGATTAAGAGTACTGGTATCCCATGTGTAAGACGATTTTTCGTAAACGTGACAACTTCTAGGGGCAAAAGTGTACATTCCAGGTTCAGATACGCAATGTTTAGTGCTCCCTTTGTTCAAAGCCAATGCTAATTTCTTCGATTCGTTTACTTTCGAATATTCGACCATGGTGTCGTGGGAAGATATGAAAGTAACGGAGAAACCAGTCTGTTCGAACGGCGGTAATTCGGATCGTTCCGAAGTTACTGAAATTCTGTAACTGGGATTTGCCCAGCAAAAGATATCATTGTCTATTAGGACCTCGTACTGACCGGGCAACACGTCCGTGAATTGGTACTGACCATCTGCGCGATGAAAAACAACTTCACAGGATACACGGTAGCATCGAGCGAATAGATTAAAAGATAGGACACTGCGATAATAAGAACGTGTTCGAATCTCTATCACCTTTTTCGTGATTTTGTTTTCCCTTCTATACCGATAGTCCTGCTTGTTTGAACGCGTGCTCATTATTGCAGAATT